GTCACCGTACTTGCATTCCAGTAGGCACTTTGAACAGGTAAAGTTTCTGTGGCAGATTTTCCTTCAATGTGTGAAGTGCTTTGTACTGGTCTTTAATTCTAGATGTGTGTCTCAGGAATTAACAGGTTTCCTTTTGAACCATTTCAATGAAATTTGATTTGTTCATCTCATTGTTGATGACTTTCATCCTTTTCTTCGCATCCTCACATGACACTCTTTGCCACTTCTCATATGTTAGCTTCTCATCCTTTGCCATACTTAATTCGGCCAGGTATTTGTCTGCTGTAACTGTACGAGCATATTCTTCAGGATCCAAAGTAACAGAAGATCCATGCAGTTTCAATGACTTCAACAACAAGGTCATGTTTTGATGATGCTGACAGAGGCATTTGTCAGTGAAATGTTCCTTGGGCGCAGTTTGCAAAATGATAAGAAAGATATTTTGAGCAAGGGATTTTCCCCTTCAAACTTCAGAAAAAGTTCTCCAAACTGTCATTGAGGATCCTCTTCTGGAGATGTTCACCCTGCACAAGTTTCGCATGAGCTTTCCCAGTCTTCTGACGACTGACGACTGTTATCATCTGACTTTCGTGGTATTGTAGATTACAGAACGTAACTTACATCAAAGGGCTTAAATGCCAATGCTTATTTGCTTAAGGACATTAGAGTGAATATTTAGTGACTGTACGTCTGTCGGTTTGCTACCTCATCGCAACATGTGGCAAATAGTTTCCTAAAGTGTATCATATATGAAATATGATGATCATGTAGATTACAGTCTTAAAAAAACTGGGGAGACTAAAAGAGTGTAATGATGACAGTTGGGAGGGTTGTAACCAATGATTTCACAAATAAGCCTATTATCCGTAACCAAAAACAAAATATTTCTTGAATATATATTTTCCAATTTAGACACATAATCTATATGGGTTTTTCCCAGAAGAAAAAAATAAAACTTGCAGAAACGTATTTTCAACATCTATCCATAGTTTCAATCTTAAAATTAAGTGAAAATATTATCATCTGTTTCGTTAATGCATTCATATTACAAGTGTAAGTATCGATACTCCAATCGGAGACAAGCCCATTTTGGTCATTTGGTGACTTGTTTCATGATATATATATATATATATCATATGAATGCCTGGAGCTTTAATGTCAAAAGGTGCAAAAGTCAAGCTGGCAGAAATCTGATTTTCACTTGAGGTTGTCTAAATTAGTGACTAAAACTAGGTGACACATGAAATCAGCTATGTGGTACATGTTTCATGAGAATAGGTGTAAACACTGTACGCGTATCAATAACCTATTTTGCTTATTAATCCTGAGGTTCAGGTATATTCTACAGGTCAAATGTAAACCATGTTTTAAGTTAAAAGGCAAGTCACAGACTGTTAACGACTAAATTAATAGGTAGGATAAAATTCCTAAGGAATCAGATTTATTCCTTTACATCACCACACATCATGTTCAGTACAGCAGGAATAGCAGGTGCCATGACCTATCTCCGAGCCCTCCGTCGCCCTGTGTCTGCTTAATGGAAGTTGTATGTATTGGATGTGTAGCTGATGACAACCTGTCAGCACGAATACCATGCACCTTTCAATTTCCCATGAAAACAGGCCTCAACAAACGACCTGAGGTTTAAATCTGATGCTAACTCAAGTGAACCTCCAGGGTAAAACATAATCATGCATCTACATCCGGCTGAGTCAATGCTTAAACCACGCGTAAGTCAATGTTTCAAACAAACCTTACACCAATGTTTAAACGAAGCAAAAAAGCCAGTGTTCAAACTGGGGCGGTGGGATAGCCTAGCGGGTAAAGCATTCGCTCGACACGCCTAATTCCCTGGTTCGAATCCCCACATAGGCACAAATTGAAGCCCATTTCTGGTGTCCCCCGCCGTGATAAAGCAGCATAAAACCCAACTCACTCACTTCGTCAGTTCTTAAACCAATCCTAAGTCAGTGTTTATACCACACCTCAGTCAATGTTGAAACCGAGCCTTAATCAAAGTGTAAACGAGTCTTTAAGTACAGTACGTCAGCTCACCTTCCCGACTGACCTGACTCCTTTTACAATGCATCCGAAGATGAGTATCCAGGAAGCCAAGAGACACAGCGCCAGCTCCCACTTGATGCTGCCCAGCTGCTCCAGACCCCCACTGATACCGAGGACTTTATACCTGGAATCACATCAGGTGAGTTGTGTTAACATGGACAGCATTCATCTTAGCTTACATGCTTTTCAAACCTCACTTGCATCTCAGTCACAGCACAGACAAATCGTTCACAGACTATAGCAAGTGGAACAAATTAAATACTTCTTTACTGCCAAGGTATGTCAAGAAATAAAGTCCAAACTTCTACACACTAACGTTTTAGAAACGCTATTGAAACAAACAATGGCGAAGATTTTGATTTAACCCAACGTTCTGAAACATTCTGAAGTAAACTTTTCCATGTCTACATCCACTGAAGAATGTACATTAACTTGAGTAGTATACGTAATAGGGCTACGAGCCAACTTCCTGTTATTGCATCATTATGTTCCCAGAGCGGCAAATGCGTCAGGACTACCACGATTGGTACTACTTTTTGGACACATGGTATTATTTTACCACAACTTTCAATTGGAGATATGGCAGTACAAAATGATAGCACTACGAAATGAAGTCTAAAATATTTGTAACGAAATGCAATCGCAATCACCTTCCAAAATATTGATTGGCCTGCGGGTCGAGAAGTTTTTCGGAACACATCTACTACTGGAAAACACCGTGGAAAGCAACCTCATACCGGATGTTGCAAAGGTCGACTATCTGGCAGACAATCTCAGAAGAACAGACCTACAACCTTTAGAAGGACTACCTACATTCATGGATGACATATATGTCTTTGGCTAGCTGCATCGCAAAGACTGTGTTTGGAAAAAAGGCAGAGTTTCCTGCACGATCTGCAAAGAAGGCTCCCCACCATTCGTGGTTTCAAGAATTTTCACTGCAGTACAAGATTCCTTGCCGAAACAAAAATACATGCAAATGAACATCCTACACACAGTGGAAAGACAAGAAGACAACTGCGGATCCATACAAAGCACCATCACGAGAATAGGAAGAGAAAGTGAAGAAACAATTGCAAAAAGCTACATTGCCAGTAGATCTACACCATGTTCGAAGCAAAGATAGTCATTTCCAAAATACCAACCGACATGCTGCAGGCTGCGATTCCGAAACTGGAACGGCAACTGCTAGCATACGGCTACGGTCTTAGATTGACTACAGGAGAGATTTCTCTGGCATGCTGGACGGTCGAATTTATCTGCTTGCACCATGACTTCAGAGAGTAAGGCGACTTCTCCTCTACCATGGAATCGAGGATTCCGATGATCCAAGACAACAGCTCAGGGTGGGAGAGCACGTATGCACATGGGTCAAACACTGGAATGGCTACACGATGCGCACAAAACTCTACAACAAGGTCGTGTCCAAATTTCGAAGCCGGCAAAGTCTGAGAGCAAAACGGAGGACATCTGGCAAGCTATGCAGATTGCCTAAACGAACACCTTTGCAAGCCTTTCCTACATGCGGACGTCCAAGCAAGAGGCAGCACCCGCATTAAAGTGTCACTCTACGTGCATCCACACAAAACGGAAGAAATAGCAACGGATTTGGTGGTACAAACTCCAGACTTGGTTTCCGACGCAAACTTGTTCGTCGTACAACCACCAGCAAAACAATGGGAAAACCTGTTGAAATGTTGATGTTGATCGCAGTCTTGTTCTGACACATCATTCCAAACATGTCCGACATTTCAAGTGGACATACTTTACACCACGGACATCGGCATTGGAGTAGGACCTCTGCATTGCTAAGATCCCGATTCAAAAATGATACAAGACGCAGATGCATGTCTGTCAAGGGAGAGTTAATGCCCTTTATTATCGTGAGCTGATTATTCACACTCACGTATCTGTCTTCAATCACCACGAAGATGTCCATACTTTTCAACAGTACAAAGCACGGGCACACACAACAATACTTTCCATGCAGTATCTGGCCCAGCAACACATCCAGGTTATTCATTGGCCAGCACAGTCGCCAGATGTATCCCCCATGAAGCACTTCTGGGACGAATTTGGTCAAAGTCTTTCGCGGCGACAAAAGATGCGAAACATCCAGGAACTTGAGGCTGCACTACTGCAGAAGTGGAATGCCACCCTCAAGAACTCTATTCAGACGCTTATTGACTCAATGAGGAGACGTTGAACTGCATGCGTCAATGCAAATGGCGGTCACATGCAATATTGACTGTTCGGTTTGACCCCACAAGTGTTTGATCCTTTCTGACTGTGGAACATTTCAGTGAATGAGTGTTATTATCCACTCAAAAAATATCAATTCCTTACACGTGCTTTTAATAATCTGAACTTATATAAGTCGTGCGTTTTCAATTATGTTCAGTATAAAATCAGATAAACTCTGTTAACGAAGGACAGTAAAATTACTAGATTATCACTAGCTAGCATATGTCTTAAAAAGGAGAAAACTGTTTTTGGACAATACAATGTGAAAATGGGCTAGTAATTGCCCCTAACGAACCTGAAGTCAGATCTCCCCATTCACCAGCTTACGTAGCCAGGTAAGCAGTCTTTCCCTTGCACTAGGCTTTCACAACATCAGTAGTATATTTACATGCAATCATGCTATAGTTGCCTTATTAATTCTGCAAAGTGCATGATGTAAAACAGAAACATACAACTAATTAGTCAGTCATCGAATGTACCGAATCACACCCGTATCCCTGTTGTCACATTTTAGAATGATGAACATAAAGCTGCTACAAATATATCGTCGTACTTCAAATGTAAGTATGTAACTCGGAGGAAATAATGATAAGTAATTTGGTATAATTTAAGAAACATAAATGTATGCCTGGTAACGAAACATGCACGTGAGAGGAAATAGTAAAATAAGACCCATATCTGCTTCTGCTTACTGCCAGAACTCCTCTGCCGCTGTGTGGGCCAGGCTGTCATTGGTTCCCCACCTGTGACTGACGGTAGTGTTGATGTACTCTGTTAGTGTCGAGTTACCATCCGTCCCATTTAACACTGTAGAGTTGCTGACTGAATACAAAAAAGACGAGCTTTTTGATTATTTTGATGTCAGGTTTTGTTTCAACTGGAAAGTAAAGTGGCCGATATGCTGCTCTCGCACTACTAACACACAAAAATGCATAATAATAAGTTGATTTATTGAGCACACCAATTCACAATTATGATGTGCTCTGTACGGTATCAGAAAGATTAAGGCTGGAAGTTGTAGTATTGACTGAACAAGTGCACCAACACGTTATATGCTGCACGTACGTCACCGGCAGTGAAGAAACCCTACATGTTGCCTAGGAGAGCATCATCGATTGTAATAATTTGCTGAAATATATGCACACATATATTTCAGCGATTGTGGATACTTCTTGGTATGTCGAAGCGACATGATGTAACTCTTTTTTGTTGGTTAGAACAATACGTTACGATGCCATATTATAATGACGTAACAGCTGGATAAAACTCAATCACAATTTGTTTGCAAGGTTTCCAAATGCGTTTTCTAGCATTTACGTTTTCATAATAAAAGCGTGTAATATATAGGCAGAACATAAGTTTTGATAATCCTTAACTTGACAAACAAATACAAATCTGACGAACTGTTTGGTCTTCAAGGGAAAGGAGAAATATTTTGTTGCTGGTGTCCTCCCGAGAGACACTAATCCTTCGTACGGACCTTCTTCTCTAGCCCTCTTAAAAATGTGAATGTTCTTTGTAAACACATGAACCACCCTTTCGTCTTCAATTTTGAATCCACTCCTGAAAGAGTGACATATTTTCAGTTCGCTTTCTTATAATTTTGACATGACTTCCTACTTCCAGTGCGTGTATTCGCTGACCAAGTCATGGGCACTCTGCAACAAGCTTGTGGAAATACATCGTACCTTCAGTTCGCCCTTGGGACATGACTTGCAGGCTTCTCACACAGACGTCAGTGTTCCACGAGTTGCCACAGTCCGTCCAGGGAAGGACAGCTCGACAGGAGAAGACGGTGTAGTACAGTGCCCACGCGCAGATGGCTGTGTAGTACACGACGGTGCCGGCAGACATTATCAGCATCCCGATCCCAACACCTGATGGAGAAGAATCAATATGAAGCTAGTATGATTACAAATGCATGTCAGGTCTACCACCAATGAAGTGGTCATCAAGCAGTAAGGGACACATGAACTTTAAACGTCCACAAATCAGACACGAACTGTTAATGTTCGTTCGACCTAACCATACCTTTCATTAGGGGACACACGCTCCACACATGGGTTGCACTCTTTCCAGAAAACTGTCCCACTGCGACCTCCAGGAAGAACAGAGGAAGGCCACACAGCACCAGACACACAATGAATGGGATGAGGAAGGCTCCTGGAACAGAGACGCCAATGGAAACTGTGTTCGTTCGTGTGTGAATTTAATTCTTAGCATTATTCCTGCCATGTCATTCGCGGAGTACACTAACCACAACCATTTACCCCGTGCATGTAAACGGAACAGAGAGATAAAGGATATCTCCAAAGTCTCAACAACATCTTGTTGTCAACGCTACCATGATTTAGAAATATATTTACAAATTAATCGAAGGTTTTTTTTGCATATCATCATGAGTGAGTGAGTTAAGGTTAATAGTCACATCGGCAATATTTAAAAAGTTTTGAACTGATAATAAATGGAATTAAATTACAAAAACCTGTCGACGTAGGATAGTAAAATAACTAGATTATCACAGATAAAATGTTTTAGATTTATTTACTGGTTTTACGTTTCTAACTATAGACGACAAAACAAAATAAAACCAGGCTGTAGCTCGCCAACAACTGAATGTTGATCACTATACTAGGGACCATGGGGACTTACAGTGCGTTTGCTACCCGCATGGACCCTAATTGGATTACACCATCCCTTCAGCCGCTGGTGATTGTAGGAATAAATTAGCCGAAAAATAAAAGAACAAAAATACTACGTTTAAAAATCTGATTAGCGTAAATTTAGTTTTGAAAGTTTTGGGACTTATGTGCATATCATCATGAAATTGCTCCGTGAGCCAGGTCATGAAAATGAACAAAAGTTCTCTAGATAAGTAAATACCTCCTCCGTTTCTATTGCAGATATAAGGAAACCGCCACAGGTTTCCAAGTCCAACGCAGTATCCGATCACAGACAAGAGGTACTCGATCTGTGAACCCCATGCTCCTCTCGCTGATGATTTTTGTACTTTCTCGGAGTCGCTTATGTCGAACGATTCAGACAAGACGATCGCATCTTTCTCCCCCTTGTCGCTTCCAGAATTCATCACTGAAATACATGTACATGTTTCTTTCTTTCAAGTAACTATTAAAAGCAAACAACCAAGAAACCATTCCTTGTAATCAGAGCAAAAGCGAAATAGATGTGATATTATTTCGAACTATCCTAAAGCCAGTTATTACACAATTAAAATGCAATAGGAATGCATACTATGACCGGATATCTTTACGTTTCGCAATATTTCGGCGCTTATTTCATGTGAACCTGTACCTATGAAACATACACTCATCGTACTTTGACGTATGCAAAATCACCTTTTATGCCCTGACTATGCTATAAATTGAAAAGTTGATAACTCAAGATATGCTTAATCACACAATATTTCAAATACATTCCTTTCATTACAATAGGTGTTGAAATTTCCGAATCTTTTCAAAACTGTCTAAAGTTTTAGATGATTCAATTGATGGATCAATTTTTGTGGATAATTCTAACATTTCATGTCGTGGCAAAAATATGAATACTATTGAAAAACAGCTACAATTATAAAATGGTCTTTGGAAAATGTATTTAAATTTTCAAAGGAAAAACGCATTTTATCCACTTTTGTAGGACATGCACACCTCACAGTGACCAAGAACAAGTCTTAGATGGCACTCCTATTAAAGTTGTCAAGGAGGCCAAGTTCTTGGGTATCATTTTCGATAGCCATTTTACCTTTTCATCACGCGTTGAAAGTTGTTTCACACTGAAAACCCTCCTCCTTTTATATAGACCTCTAATACGTTCCAAAGACGGTTTTGGCTCAATCGTCTATGGTGGAGCCTTTTAAAGTAAATTAAATCAAGACTTCTCCAGTTGATAGCCTGTATGTTGAAGCCGGTGAGCCGTCTCTATAACATAGCCGTAAAACAATGATCTTACAGTACATAACTACACATTTTTCAAATCGACCTAATTCAGGTTTTGACTTTGATTTCAATTCTCTTTATCAGGATCTGTTTTGTAAGAAAATATCACCAATTCCACCCAAAGGAATTAGAATAATACCTGACATAACTGCAGCAAAAATTGACTTATAGAATATTTGCCCAACCGAAATATGTTCTACTACTCAGTGGGAGCTAGTTCAGCCACAAGTTGATCTTTCGTTTACGCGACTAACAAAATCAGACACAAATGAACTTATCTATCATCAAGAATGTAATCAATTAAAAACACCTACATTACTCACAATTCAAGATTTTTACGCATGGACAAAGGATGGTGACACATTTGCTAGTGCTATTGTCATTGGTTCCAAAACCTTATCATCAAGACTACAAAATGATACATATATTTTCTTACACCGAAATCAAAAGCTGTGTTAACAGCTCTTAACTAAATGAATGCTCAAACTAAATGTAAGCAGTTCACTATATTTTCTGATTCCCTCGTCTGTCCCCATGCCACCAAGAGTAATTCTTGTAAACATTCACTTTTACGTAAAATCATAGAATTATATAAAAATCTCGCTACTAGCCAATACGACAACGTCTTCTGTTGGTTACCTACACACGTTTATAGTAATGAAAACACACTGGCAGGTGGTGCAGCCAAAACAGCTCGCTCCAAATCTGCAACACTACTTCTAATTACTTACAGTGATTTTGAGTATGTCATTAGATGTTACAACAAGGATTTCACGCAAAGGAAGTGGTACACTCAAGTAGGTATAATAAGTTACATGAAATTGAAACAACCATTGGTTAAAACTACTTTCTTGTTGTCAGTCCAAATTTGAGGAGGTCATCGATGATGACTCATTGGTCATAATAGGTATCTATTAAAAGGTGATCCTCCGTTTTGTATCTCTTGTGATGAAAAAATAATAGTCAAGCATGTCCTGCTTGACTGTGTTGATTTTTGCATCACAAGAGACACATTTTTCAAAGTAAAATGTTAAGGATGTTTTTAATAATATTAATTATCTTTGAAATATGGATTTTGTATAAGAAATAGAACTTATTTAACATTTTTAGATAGATGTATTTTTGTTATAATTGGAAGTTATTGGGTTTTTTTTAATTGATTTAACTGATAGATTTTGAATAATAGGTTTTGAAGATAGATGTATTTTTAATGACTGGTTGTTTAGATTAGTCACTGAGATTGCAAGTGGCTGTCTCCTCAAAGGGGTTAAAGTATCATAAGTATCATTAAATCATTGTCCTCCTGAAAGGGTACAAGTACAAGTCCCAAAACATTCAAAGTAAATTTACACTTACCACTTTTTAATCGTGGAATATGTGTCATTTTAATGTGTGGCTAGATTTGTCTAAATTGCTAACAGCTGAAGGGATGATGTAAACCCACCTGGAGTCCATGCAGGAAGCAAATGTTCCGTAAGCTCCCATGGTCCTTAGTATGGTAATCTACCTTCAGTTGTTGAAATCTATAAGCTGTTTTGTATTGTCTATTGTCGGTTTATCTACAGTCACAATATGTCAGATGTAATTACTAGTTTAAATTTATATCTGTGATAAACTAGCTGTGGTATTGTCCTTCATTGACAGGTTTACACAACTTCTAGAAGAGACTGAGAATTACGTGGATTGCTGGAAGTTGAAGTAGTACCATCAGCAAATAGAATACCTGGACAGTGTCCCAGTGGGAACTGGAGACCTAGACCCGAGTTATCCAAACTCTGCATAAGATCGTTGATGTATTAGCTGAATAGCCCAGTTGAAATCACTCGCCCCTGTCCTACACCTTGCCTAATTCTAAAGCCATCCGACAGGAAACACATGATTGCATGAACAAGTATGACATTCGAAGCAGTCTCCAGATTTTATCTCTTATCCCGAGATTATACAATTTGAGAAAGAACCCATCCAACCAAACTCATTATCGAGAAACACACAAAACACTGCGAATGCCCTTTCTTTAAAGTATGATATGGTTTCTATAAGGGTAAGTGCAGCTGTATCAGGTCCACGATGCTTTCGAACATCAAACTGAAGGCGATGAGGAAAGTTAATTAGCTTAAGTGAAACCCATATTTCAATTCTAGACAAAATGAGACGTTCAAATAGTTTGCCTATAGCTGATGTAAGGGTTATCCCGCGGTAATTGGAGGGGTCACATTTACTTTTTACTTTCCCTTTATGTATTGCTATGATATGCCCAATATTATATATCTCTGAGATCTGCTCATACTTTAAGACGTTGTTAAACAGGACACATAGCTGGGATGTCAGGGACCTGCCAGCATACTTTAAGTGTTCGTTACACAAGAAATCAGGACCAGGTTCTTTGTCCATGATTTCATCATGGCTAAATTAATTATCCAATATCTCATGGAAAATATCTTGCTTCCAATGAAACTTCTTTTAGCTTCTCATTTTCCGAATTTTGCTTGGACTTTCTAAACATTCTTTTGAACACAGGCTTTATTTGTTTATATTGCACATACGAAGCGTCTTCTTTTGAGCGTGGTTTACCCTTTTCTACCCAAATGTTGCGTTTCGCACATCAACATGAAGCGGTTTAATATTGTCTCTCTTCCATCCAGGTTTAAGATATGGTCGAAACGACGTTATTTGAATGTATGTAACAGCTGCTGTCACACTGGGTAATATAATCTCTGTGTGCTTCAATACAGTCACTAGCACATGAATAGTTATCAGGGGTAAAATCCAGTCCACGGAAAGAGTTTTCTGTTTCATAACCGTAGAGAGTCTGTTCGCCACAGCTTGCGTTAAGGGTAAGTGTGGTGACGTCACTAAGATGGCGGGTGTGTTTTGAATCCTGTCCGACCCTTTTATTAAAATTGCTGAGATTTTTTAACTCCAATGCTGTAATTGCTCATATGAAATGGGTGATAAGAAGAAAGTCAAGTCTGGCGATCAGTCTGCGAAGAGGACGAAGCTACCCGACACTCCACAGAGAACTACGAACTCAGCCACGTCACCTGTTGTTGACACTGGAGCTGCTGTGAGGGAGGCCATGATGTCCGTGTACGGTCAACCCATCAGCTCACCGCTCCGACACAGGTCAGAACCACTTTACTCAACAACATCAAGCCACCGACCCGAACATTCTGAACGCTCTCAATGAGATCAATAACAAATTATCAAAGTTAGACTCCATTGAGAAATCCGTGTCAGATATACAGACCCAGGTTGAAAATCAAAGGAAATGAGTTTGACTCACTCAAAGGGAAAGTTAGCTCAATTGAATCAAGCATAGAATTCATGAGCAGTTAATTTGATGATTGGTCCACTTAGAAAAAACACAATCCTATCTGATATTGAGAACATGAAAGAGCAGTTGTGTACATTCCCTAGGGACTTGATGAATCTACAAAACGAAAGTATGCAAATGAAAGAGTATGCGTTAGGTTAGAGGTGCCAAGGGGCACAACCTCATATTACTGATATCCCTGAGGTTGAATCAGAGACTGTTACTACAGAACATATCTTAAGAAACTTTATAAAGGATGATTTGAAGTTGAATGTGATAATATTCACTTCAAGACAATTCACAGGATTGGCCAGAGAAGACAGGGCATCACCAGACCAAGGTCTATCATCGCCAAGTTTAACATCACCTCAGAGAGAGACACAGTGAAGAAAGCTGGGAGAGAACTGAAGGGAGGGAAGGAGAGAATACTGGAACAGATTCCCGATGATATAAGTGACTACAGGAGAGATGTGTTGTTTCCTTTACTGAGGGAAGTTGGGAGCAAAGGGCTCACATTGTTGTATGTTAATAACTCATTCATAACCCCTTTGTAATACAAACCCATAATAGCGATTTGAAACTATGATCGTTTGTTAAACTTTTATCCCAGGTTGAATAAAGTTCTGAGATTTAAATGTTCAACTGGCAAGGTAAAATTATGAGGATTCGCAATCTTAATTTCACTTTATTCGAGTTACTGTTTTGTTTAAAGTGAAATTCATCGGTACGTTGTCACTGCAATGGCAGATTTGGAAAAGACAAACACGTAGGCAAAACAACATGTGAAAATAAGTCCGCTTTTGATTATGTGATATCATCGCC